TATTGGCCTCGGACCGGTTCACGAGGTCGTACCCGCATTAATTATTCTAAATAAGTCGTCGCCCCTGCGGCGGCTGATTATAGAGTTTGCAGTGCCATAAATAGAACCCGTTTACAAATCGCGCTCGGGGAATAATGATCGCCGCGCGCTAGGCCTGCGCGTCTCGTTGCTCGCTTTTGGGGAGAGAGGATTCGCGAGACGAAAAACCCAATCAATCCCTGACGTCCCAGAGCGGCGATTGGTCTCGCCGTAGGCGTTTTCTCTCGAGAGACTTCGCGGACCCGTTCGCGGCACCGCTTGCGCGTTCTAATAAGGGGATTAAGGTTTGCATTTCGGTGATTTGCTTCTGCCTCAATGTGTATAACAAGAGATGGGCTGGCAGCCCGAATAGGACCGTTTGTAATAATCTACATCTGAATCGTTCACAACGCAGCTAACCAGTCTTGTGAATTGTAATTGACTTGTGATTGAATGACATATGGTATAGCGATAATTGGAAGATTTTCTAGTAGTCAACATATACGCTACATTTATATTCATTTTTAAATTCTTTCATCAAATCATGAAAGAGTTTTAAAATTAGAATTAGAATTATAAGAGAATATTTAATCTATCTCATTAAATATAAAAATATATATCTCTATTAGTGAATTAAATAATACACAAAATATTATAAAAGATTATTACATGATTGTATTCTGTTGTATTTTTTTTAGAAATTGAAATTTTCAGTATAATATTTTATTAATCAAATCAAGAAATAACAAGTTTCTTTTATTATTTATTGAATTAATGACTCCATTGGAATTTTGTTAATTAATTAACGCAATGATGATATACTCTAAAGTGAAAGAAAAGCTAATTCAATGGCGTCGGTAAGCTAGTACATATAGTCGATCCTCATTTTAAATTTCAACTCGACAATTCCATATGGAAATTCTTGAAACGTTTCTTGGCTTGGCTAGACACTATTGATAGATGGACACGTTGTAGTTATTTATGGTTGCTATCTCTATTATTGTCTCTACGCGAGACGATCTTGCGGTTAATGATCGCCCTGCGGCTCACGTGGCAGCTGGTGTCCCTATAGGTGTGGCCATTAATAAACCCGTCGGCCGTAACGACGATCTTACAGTATTCGTGAACTTTGCAACAAGGGGAAACAAAGGAATATGCCTCCTGTCGGGTTGAAGAAATCGAGCCGACAGAAACCGAGCTACGACAGTCATCCACGAGGATCGGAGCGTGCGCTCGCGCGTCAAAAAGGTATCGGCCATCCGAAGTCGGTCGCGCGTTCGTCACAGGGAATCGTATATTCTCTTTCTTGGAATTTTGGGTCTTAACGCGAAAGGACGAGAGACGTAAAACGGACGGACGCACAATTCACCGACATTATAGTCTACATTGTGGCGACTGAGGACGTCGGTTCTCGAGACGGTATAAAAGGTACACCTCGGGGTAGCCACGTCAGTTGTTATAGCGGCACAGACGATAATCACAGAGAATTGCGGTACCTTCCCTACCCTCTTATCCTGTTCATTGCTTAAAAAGAAATTTATAATTTTCTCTCAGCTTTAAGCGTACCGTAATGTAATGAGTCCGATATGATGGAAATGATCGTATATTCGAGTTTGGGTACATGAAAGTAATGTAAAGAAAATTAAGTAATAAATATGTAAGGACGTAATAAGCATGTAAGTAAAAAGAAAAATATGTAAAGATATGTAAAAAATATATATGTATACGTATCATAATTTTGCACTTTATTTCAACACAAACACTATTTTTATGTTCGCGTAATCAAAAAAAATATAAACGTAATTGTATTTCCTCAAATAACATTTTACATTTACTTTAAGACAATGTCGCGTGATCTACTGCTATGTTACATTGACTGGCTAATTATTGTAAAACTATCGGAACGATCAGTAGCATGTGCAAGAGTAAATGAGATGGGCGATATGGTAATGGAAAAAGATATAAATAACACATCGTTAACACCAGTGGAACCAGTGGCTGATAAATTGTGGTGTATTATTCGGAGGCAATCGATATATGGACAATAATTGGCGTAAAAAATGATGTTTCTGTAATTTATGATGTAAGGCTTCGTAAGGCGAAGCCCAGGCGAGTGATGGTAAAATTGATCGCTGATAAAAATGTTGATTTGTCGAATGCGAGTACACTTATAACTTCCATTTGAAAGCTTACTTCAGTGCATCACGTTATTACGTTAATTACACGCTTGCTCCATGCTGTATATTATTATATCAAATAGCGTTAATGAGCTTATTAACTCGGCACACTTGGCAAAATAGTTAAAGTTCATTACTTCGCAGGTGTTTTGAATTTCTTAAATGATGCATAATTCGATAAATCATCGCACGGATCGCATAGGATGGCGATCTTTAAATAGAAGGAGCTGTAAAAATATGCATCTGATATGGCATTCTATGAAAAGGAAACATTCTTCAGTTTTTATCTGATATGCTGCAGTACGTCGCGTCGCTTGTATATCGAACAAAAACATTTTTAATTAAAATGTTATTTTATATCTAATTTAATAAAAATAAGTAATTTTTATATCTTCTCTACATTTTTCTGATGGCGACTAAATATTTCTAAGTTTATCGTTTATTGATCTTTTTTTTTTAGATAACGTATGTACGGTTTTAAATTTGCAAATCGACCGCGACTCCTGGATGCTTGCACAAGTCTCATTTTTGCGTCGTCGCATCAATCAGGCGTGTTCTTCTAGGTGTGTGAACGGCAGGTCGAGTGTCTCCACCAATTACCGCGCGAAACACCTGACTTATCGCGTGCAACCTTTACATCGTGAGGCGGATTTCGTTATGGGCTTTAATTGCAACCGTTTTAACGACAAGTCCTTATACATCTCGCGTGTTTCTAATGCGTAGCCTCACTGCTTTCATGTCAGGACCGAATAACGCTTCGAACGAACGAAGAGCATCCTATACGCGATTAGACGTTAAAGAGTTAATGACCGTAATTTTGTTCCGTTGATTAACAGACAAGAGTATCGTCATCGTTGTTCCATGTGATAATCGCGCTGCGAGCAAAAAAACACGATCCGACGAACAAAAAATCACCGACACTGACGATTTAGTCTGTTTTTTAATTTTCTAATTTAGTCTGGTTTCTGATATAAATCGCAGAACATATATAAGAGGATAGAATTACAACGATCTTTAAAAACGTGCCAGATAGTAAATAATGCCACTTTGTTTTACATTTATCGTATTACAGCTGGTTTCCGACTTTTACACAAATACTTCAAGTAGATACTTCAAGATCTCACACGCATTCTGATAAAGTATTCTAAAGGTGCTCTTTGAATTTTTACATATTCAAATGTGATGCGTGCTAAGGTTTACGAAGCAGAACTGATTGCGGAAGGTATATTACACGGTAGCTGCATTGTGAAGTCACGTAAAGTGCCCGAGAAAGTGCCAAACAAAAGACTCGACTACGCTGCTCCTCTCTTTCCAATTGTCTCTCTGAAGCGTCAGTAAGATTAAGCGATCTAGGAATAAGTTACGCGCTGTAATATATACATATATATATACATATATATAAAGATGAAAAAACTGTACACATTGATATGAAGTAAAAAGGAAAGATAAAGAACATTGGAAAAGGAACAAAGAGAAGATCAGCATCTGTCATAGGGTGAGTAATACATTTGTTCCGTTAACCGTCGCACAGCCATCGGAGCCAGAAAAAAAAGAGAATAATAGCGGGTCATGACGCTGATGGTGTTTGTGCAAATTTTTGTATGAAGCGATTCCGACGGGTGACGATAAAATCCATGTCTTACTGAAAAGGAAAGAGTTGAGGGAGAAAGAAGGAGAGCGCTCTCTTCGGCTTGAAGAAACGAATTAGTCGACTTCAACCTGAACGGGTCGACAACACCGCCGCGGTGGGGAGGAACAAAAGTATGGAGTAGTGGGTAGAACACAGTGGGAGGGGTGGTAGGCGTGGTATAGTAGGGGAGAGGCGAAAACGTGGGCGAGACCTGGGAATTGGACTCGTGGTGAGGGAAGAACTCCTCCAATGGGGCGGAGAGATGTGAGTATTCTCGTTATTGTTCGCAGTGGCGCGGATATTCGTATATTCCAAATGTGCATAAAGTTAAATGGACTGTAAATCTCTGTAAACAAAATTTCGCACAGAGTATTTCACAGCAGCTATCTGTTTTTGTAACAGTTTCTTAAACAGAAGTTGATATAAATCTAAAAATATTTTTATTTAAAATATTTATATTTTTATATACAGATGAGATTTATGGTATATCTTAATTAAGCTTCGATCCAACGTAACAACATAAAGTTGATGGCAAAATCCTTTATGGTAAAATTAACGATATCTTTCAGTATCATTTTAAAAGCAAAGTACTTTTCTCTTCGCTTTTTTTTTAACACAGATATTTTTGTAGTGTCAAAATTACACTACATTATATAGTACATCATATAAATGATGCGGATCAGCCACGCAATAATTGACTTGTGTGTTTAAATGTAGAATAGATATTACGAAGATATAATAAATAAAATATTTGAATTGTGTCAATAAACGAGTCTAAATTCTTCGCCTTATCTTCATTAATTGACTAATTATGACAAAAGTGTAGAATTAAAGAGAGACGAATCTCGTCGCGAAACTGGGAGTTTGGGAAAAGGCGTCGGTAACATTGATCCGCAGGAAATTCGTGAGAGCGCCCCCTACTACCTGTACCACTGGCGGTGGGGATGACGACGGGCGGAAGGGGGTACGATACACCTTATGCCAGTGGGCGGAGCCTTTAGCCGAAGAGTTAATAGAGATGCAATCGAGAGTGTCTAGTGCACTGCACTCCGGGCTGCGGCGTAGGAGGAGTGGAGGGACAGGGACGAGGAGGGACAGGCGGTAAGTAGGGACCTCGGGTCCCCTAGTTTAGACATCACTGAGCGACGGATGGACAGCCAGTCAGACCCGTCACAGCACTCGCTAGAGTACTCGGAAACCTCGGGAAAAGCCGATAGCTGGAGTCTTTGGCTTGGACCGGCTTCATAGACGAGACGATAATTAACACGAGCTGCCCACTAGACCGTATCGGACCCATGAATATTTCTAAAAGCTTCTACTAAAGCTTCTCTAAGAAGAAGTGGCTTCTTTTGAAATACGACACTTTTGAAAATATTATAATGGATTCGACACAATTTTAAAGGATTAAATAGTGAATCACAAGGACGTGCAATAACGAAGGGATTCGCGGTAGCCTTCGAGGAATGCGGTGCATGAACATGATTGGCGCGATTGGTGACACGTGACTAGTGTACATGAGAGACTGTCGTTGGAATTAACAATCCAGAGATTTGCAACTGCGTGACAACGGCGGATTTGCGACGGAGCGATCTATTGACAGCAGTGGACAGTGAAAACGTGTTTCTTTGTCAATATAGTTTCATTATTAACTTTCCATTTCATTGTATCGGACAAAGGTATTTTGATATATGAAGTATTTTGATATTTAAAATGAGCGTTGCACTTGCGGCTAGGGATTCCACGTATGCTCTGCAACTCGCCAGGCAGCATCATTATCCTCATCGCCACGTGTTGTCGCCGGTGATGCCGCATCAAGTGGTTCGTTCGCCGGATCGCCAGCGAAACGTGTCACCGTTGCGCTTCAGCGTTGTTAACATTCTCAAGCCAGATTTCGGTAGCAAAGCCCTTCGCACGAAACAACCTGTATCGTTACATAGACCATCGCTTTTGCTTCCGAGGGATCTCAGCCTATCGTCTAGCCGACTGTCACCGCAGTTGGTCCACAAAGAAAAGGACAATTTCTCGTCTCACAATGGACTCACGCCACCACCGTCTAAGCAGAACGGGCTAAGCAGAAGCGGCAGTCTCGAAAGTCTCGCGTCCAGCAGGAGCTCGGTCGCCAGTAATACGGTCACCGGTCCATCCTCCTTATGCTCTACGTCATCCATTGTCGGCGATTCTCTAAACGGCGACGCCACATCCGGCGGCAGTTCCGGTAGCACGTCGACAAGTCAGCAAAATGGCACTAATGGCCAAAACCAGTTGTGGCCCGCGTGGGTCTACTGTACCAGATACTCGGATCGGCCGTCCTCTGGTAAATTCGATAGACATTTATTTCACCTCGTATATTAATATATAGCTCATAAAAAGCTAATATGCAATTGTCACGGAGTAAGTAATTGATGCTTGTATCTTATTTCAATAACATTAGAAAAGTCGTATCGTTGAAAAACTTGTACTTTTTGATTTTTCGTAACGTTCTCGTTATCTCGTCGCGAGTATCAACTTCGCGCTTGGTTATTGAACTGGTACGTCTAACGATGCACGTTAAAAAGCAAACAAGTTAGAAATTCATCAGATTTCCTGTGCGCGTGGTACGTGACTTGCGTTTAGCTTTGCACATGCAAGAAGAACTTGCGTGGTCGCAACGTCGGAAATGTCTATCAAGATGTTTTGTTCACTTATGCGTCCCATAATGCGCTCCAGTTACAAAATCACGATTGTCCGCTAATTAAAATCCCTACCAAAGCGTTTGAAAAATTGTGCGGCATGAAGGTAAGTAAAAATCCTTTCGCGAGCAAAACACGTGGCTTTCGTCCGAGCTTATCGCGAGCTTTGTACCTCGAAGTCACGGATCGAGGAAAAAGTCGCTCCGCGTTACTGCGCGATTAACGGGAGCTTAAGTGTAATCGCTACTTTTTACATATATAATCGTGGTCTCTTCGCATGAATTATACTTTCTCGGTTTAGCGACTCTATTCGTTTTTACGAAAAAAAAAAAAGAAAAGACAAAATAGAAGTGCACGTGGCACATGGAGAACGCGATGCCTAATGGTATAAAATACCGAATAACGAGATAATCGGGCGCAATGTAGGGTCGAGAGAAGGAAGACGTATGTAGCAAATAGGAAGATCTCTGCCTTTGTGTTCGAGTTCATTAGTTAATTAGTAATTTTTTTGGTTAGTTCATATTAAACATTTTACCGGGCAGTAATTCGGATACTGCTAAGTTTTCTCATGTGTTTTAACGTGTCACTATGTCACAGCGGGTTATCACTCTGATGACAACAGAAGATCGAATATAGATATGAAAAGTCCGAACTATTCTCGAAACACGCTAGTAATACGTATTGCATTATATTTAATGTTTGAGATAAGACGCGCGCGTTTTAACAATCCGGTTTATATGTAATTTGAACTAGTATGTGCCCAATTCGACTCTTGGTTAGAGCGTGGTTCTACGCTATCATAAACCGTCGCGATCGCGCATCGATGAACTTATTTAAATGATTAATCGCTCGCGCGAACTCCACGTTAATGGCGTCCAACACGTGCGGACGCGAGTCGTGATTACCCGCGACGCCTCGTCGACAAATTGCAGCGATCTCTGCCTCGAGAGTATCTAATTACGCGTTCGCGTTAGATAACAGTTCGCCCCACAAATAAATTATGTGATGGCCAACATACGAACCTAATGTTATCCCGTCGCTCGATATTACCGCAATAAGTTATTACACTCCGCGCAGAGAATCACGGAACTTCGAAAGGATCGCTACATTTAATTGCAAGTATAGCTAGGCGAAGTTAACGTACGACCCAATGCCACCTGCGCTTGTTCGCAGAACTTAATTGTGTAGAACCTACATTCTGCGAGCTACCATCTGTAATCACTGCCCCACATACGACACTGCCATTCTTCCGTCTTCTTTGTGGCTTCTCTTTTTCCGTACGCCTCTACCTTTATCTTTCTTTCTCTATCAGGTGAATGCCCATCGGCCTGTCTTATACTCGGGGTGGTCCGTGAGTCTCGACCCGATAATCTCGTTACTAATTGTCGAGTATCGCCCACTTATCTTACGCGAGCCTCTTCATCGTCGAGCGTTAACCCCTAAGTGGGATTTCGTGTAACATTTTGTACCATTTAGTGATATATAGAAAGAGAAAAAGAGAGAGAGAAAGAGAGAGAGAGAAATAAAAAGAAAAATTTTACGTATCAATATATGTATATGTTATTTCTGCAAATTCGTTTATCTTAGAAAAAAGTGTCAAATCAAAACTTATATACTCGTATATATGTACAACAATCTATAATATAATCCTCTTATGAGAATTTAAACTGTTTTTCTTGGTTGAATTACATAAAATGACTTCATTCAAGTTTTCTACATTTAACGCAATATAATCTAATTCCAAGATTTCCATTAAAACTAAAGATATTTTTAAAACAAGAATATTCTTTCTTTCTGTACAGTATATTCAAAACATTAACAAAGTTGCTTGTTTTGTCTTGGTGCAATCGCATTTTACATTCAAAACCACGTTTGTATTTAAAGTACTCTCAAACGTACTTAATAATTAACTTTGTACAGATTGTAAGTATATTTTATTTCACGTAATTCGGTGAGTTCGTTTAATCTCAGACTCTTTTCGCATCTCCCGTTGCGCTTCCATTGTGCTGCGAACAGCGGGAGTTCGTTTGAAAAAAAAAATTTCTTGGAAATATGTGCAATGGCATTAGGTATATAACAAAGAGACGAAAGACTGAAACCTGATAGATTAGAAATTATCATATATATAGTCGTTTTGAACGGTAAGACATTATTCATTATTTATGATAAAACTGAAGCGATGATTGTGACAAAAACATCATGTTGCGGTTTCTCGCGGTGATGAAATCGAATTAATATTTCGCATTTTTAAAGCGATGATAATGTCCAGGCAGTAACGTTAACGATCGGTATGTGAAACGATCACATATCTTTTTAAATTACTATAAGTATCGGAATACATGACTTCTTTCAAAAGTAATAATAATGCGGATAATTATATGTATTTTATGTACTATCGGTAATGATTACGTTTCTCTCTCTCTCTCTCTCTCTCTCTCGTCGTGGAGATATATATTTTAAACTACAAACAGCTGAAACGATCAGTTAACGGTTTCGCCGAAGATAATAATAACATCGGCGATAACTACAGGCGTGCGCAGAAGCACGCGGATGTATCCCAACTCTACATGATTGCGTTATCTATGTTAAATAAAAATCAAAAGCGTGTAACGCTAATGCTCAGGATTCTCGGCGATGAGCGTTACCTTCGACGATACGCAGCGCAGGGCGATCGGAGTACCTACTCGTTATCGCGCTTAAAAGCATGCCTCGCAAAATTCCGATCGTGAACGTGAGAAAGAACGCACACGTGACTCGATCCTTGACTTTTTAATAACGTAATCGTATCACGTTAAGTCGTTACGAGAATATAAACGGTATAGACATTAGCAGTCGCGTAAAATTGCAATTCGCATACGAGAGCGCAACTGTAATTTCAGATACGCCGCGCCGCGCGTCGTGGCTAGACGAACTATTTCCGCCTTCGCTAAATTCCAAAGCGGTTGCTCAGAATATAGTTATTCCCCGAGTGTCCTTCCTTTACGAGGCGAGCGAGCGCGATCTCTCGTCGTCGCGAAATACGCTGAATCACGGCGGTGTGTGGACAAATTGATGAGAACGCCCACTTTCCCCACGATAATGCCGCCCGCCTCGCTGCCTCGAACTTCAGTCACAAAAGTCGGCGCGTGAAGATTAATGCGGGCTTTCTTTTGTCGTTTCAGGACCGCGCACGAGACGAGTCAAACGTTCGCAGAGCGGGAGCGTGAAGAACAGCACGCCGGAAGAGAAGAGGCCCAGAACGGCCTTCAGCGCCGACCAACTGGCCAGGCTGAAGCGGGAATTCACAGAGAATCGATATTTGACGGAGAGAAGGAGGCAGCAGCTCTCACGGGAGTTGAACCTGAATGAGGCGCAGATCAAGATTTGGTTTCAGAACAAGCGGGCGAAAATAAAGAAGGCGAGCGGACAGAAAAATCCGTTGGCCCTACAGCTAATGGCGCAAGGTCTTTATAATCATTCCACCGTGCCGGTGGACGAGGACGGCGAAGAGATCGTAACCGGAAGAAATCATTGAGACTCGCATAAATTCAAATGGCAGCGACGAAACGAAGAGTTAGAGACTAGAATGACGTGTGACTGTAGGCGCGCTTAGAAGTTATCATCAACATTGAGCGCTGTCTACAAAAGTCTACAAAGAGAAAGTCGTTAAAATATTATTTATGAAGAAATTCCGAGAACATAATAATCATAATGACTGTGAGTAAAGACTGAGGATAAAACACATAATGAATGAAAGGTACACTATCGTAACGAGGAATCGAATCCGCTTAACAATCTTATCATTAGTGCAATCGAGGATTAAATACATTATTGATAAGTAAATTGATATATTTAACAAAGAGATTTTTATAGTGTATGGTAGAAAATTATTTGGCTTCAACATTTTCGTGCTTAAACTAGATAAGTATTTACAGAGTTCAAATAATTTTGAATAAATACAATTATATGTACTTTGTAAAAGTATGCTGATTCAAAGGAAATGAGTGAATGACTAGGTTTTAGAGAAAAGATAGTTCACCAGTATGTAGGTTTTGTAAACACTCAATATGTTTTATTTTTATAGTAAGTTTCATGATAGTTTTCATCTATTGACTATTGCGAGTGGAAAAGGCATTTGTGTATGACATATTTTAATATTTTTAAGGCTCCTGGGTAGTCACCGCGGCCATATTGGATTCTTACTATCGAGGCGAGGAAAACACCCAATTTTGTTTTGCATGCCATTTTCAAATAAAAAGACATTTCAATAAAACATCACTATAGATCGTTTCAGAACACTTCCGAAATTAGCCGAAAACTACCCTTTTTCCTCGACAATAAACAAACAGCCATAAAACGAAGCCTAAACATACGGGAAAAACAGCCGTTTAACGACTATCGAAAGGAGGTGAAAACGTTCCTTCCGCATGCAAATCTTACTTTTCGGCCAATTTTATGATTTTCACGAATACGTTAAACGTTAGAGCACAAGCACAGAGCAAATAATAAAAAATAGCACGCACAACAAAATAGGTTGTCAACATGTCACAAGACAGAATTCTCCATTGGAGAGAGTGAGAGGAGAGAGTTCTGATTTCTGCCGCGACGATACGTCGCCACCGTCAACGCAGAGTTCTCGGCTCAGGGACCAGGAGCCTTAAACACAAATCAAGGGATTGCTTTAGTCGTACAAAGAAAATTACTCTTAGCATGAAAGTGAAATATGAAAATCAGCAATTTAGATTATATTTAGCGAGCTAAGTTTGTGACTTATATCTGTCGGCTATAGATATAAATAGAATTCAGTTAGCTTGCAATACGAGTTTCCTATTAAATTAAGTATAAATTATTTATTTGTACATAATATGTATATATAACGATAGCTTGTGATCTTGTCTATATGTAAGATATAAACTAGGGATTAGATGGCGATTATCGTACCACTGCATGAAACGATCTCACGTTGTATATTCCTCATTCTTGTATACAAATCTAGATACATATGCTTGGGGTTGACGTTGTTGCGTGTGTGGCGTATAATGTATGGTTGGACGTCTTCTCCCCAAAAATACCATTCGCGACTCTCAGTGATTTGGATGGTGACTGTACTAGTATGTGCCCAATTCGACTCTTGGTGAGAGCATCGATTGACAAATGAACAATTTGATGGAATTGTTTATACTCCCAAAAATACCATTCACGACTCTGAGTGACTTGGATAGTGATTCCACTAGTATGTACCCAATTCGACTCTTGGTGAAAGCATTGATTGACAAAGAAGTAATTTGGTGGAATTGTTTATATCCCCAAAAATACCATTCACAACTCTCAATGACTTGGATGGTGAATTCGCTAGTATGTGCCCAATTCGACTCTTGATGAGCATCGATTGACAAACTGATTGAGTAAGTTGATGGAATTGTTCATAAACCTAGTCGTTGCGGCCGGACGACGCTTGCAAGAAAACGTGTTCGTCCGCGTGCGGCTGGTTAATGTGGTGCGCGGAGCTGCCGACTTGGTAGGAGCACACACGCGGCTATTACATATGATACAGCCTTGGCCAAAATTATTAGGCACGTAATCATCACTGTATTAAATCTAATACCAAAAAAAATTTCTATGGTTTTAAAGTTATTTACTAGAGTATTTATTACCTATTACCTATTATAAACAAATTTATATATTTTTTTTATTTCTTTTAAAAATAATTGTTATTTTGAAAGAACTTCATTTTAATTTAGGGTGCGTAATAATTTTGATTGAAGCTGTACATCTTAGATGGAAAGTACGTATAACGTATATATCCCACTGTATTCCGCAATAAATGATCATAATATTCCATGTAATCAGCTTACGATCTTTAATTGTCGCCGATTAAATCGAAATAAAAAGAATCTTTTATCTTGACATGCGCATTCTCTTCCATCTTTTCCTCATCTCTCAAAACCATGCTTGGTCCAGATATTCCTACGTTCATGTTCAGTATCATGTATCATGTATCTTGAAAAAAAGGTGAAAATTACAAAAGTGAACAGATTTACTAGATTTCGATCAATGTAATCATAAATAGTCTAGTGAATTTCCTCACTTTTTAAATTTTCATCTCTTTTCAAGATATATGATCGACCCTCAGAACTTATTCGTATTAATATTAAGTGCCCATGAAGTAAGTATTAATCAATATTGATTGAAAATATTTCGCACATGCAACTATATTAATAAATCAGCAAAGTTTGAAAGCGATGCAAAGTTGAAAGTAACAGCAATGCAGTAATAGTTAATGAAGATGACTGACAAACATATCTTGTGTTTTGGCCTAATAGATTTATGTGAAAAGTTAATAAAAAATACGTATAAAAATAAGTATAAAAAATACATTCCAAAAATACATTCGAAAATCAATCGCAAAAATAATAAGATATAAACTTATATTACTTTGTGAAATTCCTCACATTTATATCAATTTACATGTAATAATATAATGACACGATTATCAATTAAACCAGTGATTATAAATTAATATGCAAGGAATGTTTCAAGCAGTAATAAATTAAAAATTGTAAGATTAGAAAAAATAGCTGCATAACATTTACAAATAATGTAATAAGTTATAAAAATAAGGTTAATAATTGATGCACCACGGTCACTCTAAAGCAACTTATTGCTCTAATACTGCATTTACGCGAAAGTAACATAAATAAATGCAATAACGATATAATGGTTCAATCACCAATTAAACATGTAGCAATTACATTGCCGAGAGGCGCTTAGAAATACCTCCATGCGGCTGCGGTATAAGCACTCAACTAAAATTATCCCCGCGTTAATTAGCATCGTTACCATACCGGCGTGCTCTACGCTCTTCACGTGTGCGCGCGCGTAAGCGCGCACGCGACAAAGTCGTGTTTTTGGAAAGGCGTTCTGTTTCACCGGGAAAACTCTCAAAGTTCCCGTTTTCGGTAACGCCTCACGACGCACTAATTGATCCCGAACTAACGAGCCGTCCGGTATCTCGAGCGCGGCCGGTGAGGTACTCAAGTGGAAGTCTGATCAATGTGACATGTGATCCTCTTACTGCTATTAGTTTTATTCTACTGTAACGCGTTAAAATTTATTGTCATGCTATTTATTGGGTTGATTCATAAAAAGTGAGTTTCGTTTTACTTAATCAATTAAATTTATATTTAAAAATGTTATAACAGTATAAGTGCTGATTTGTTAATAATACACTCCTAACTACTTATAGCAGATAAAATAATTAAATACCGTGAGTAATATTGATTTCTCAGAAGAAATGTGATTCAGTAATTATGCATAGTAAAACAATATATCCAGATTTGTAAATCCAGATATTGAGCGCGCCTTTTAATAATAAATTCAATATACATATGAAAGGTACAAGGAGAAAACGATCAATGTCCATCAGAGAAAAATGCAATTTCAAGTTTTTCAAGATATTAAATATCTCCCAATACAGTACATCTTTCGGTCTTATTTTCAATGAATTGTAACTACTCTTGATCGAAACAGATAAGAATTATGAAAGTTCTTTGAAAATGTCACAAAATAGCATGATCAGATCATTTCGATAAAAAGTGGACTTTGATCATTTTTCCTCTGTACCCTTCATGTACATATATATGTGTAAAATTTTAGTAGGTACAATTTATAAAATAATACTATTTAATATTTGATATATTTAACAAATCGATAATATAAAGTTTTATATAGAATTGCTATAGGATTATTTGTTGGCGCATTACCTTACGTCATGTATTTCCTTTTCTTTTAACTAGAAACTTTTCTATTAGTTTGGTTTTTCTAAAAGAACAGTGAATCGGGAAACATCGGCTTTTTGAAGTGTTGCTAACGGAATTCGATCGAGGATGACAATAGGTACGTCAATATTCGAGCTTGTTCACCCGCGGACTTGTCGCGATCGACGCGAGATAAGCGATATAGGTGCGCACCTGTTAGACGATATTGCGTGCACACGTATGCGTTTACGTGCTCACAGAGATCGGATTTACGAGCGCGTTTTTTTCGGCATCGTGTATAGCAAAGCTGTCGCTAGTCGCGAAAGGATTATGACCGTAAAAAATGCGAGAGAATATCGCACACATGCATTGCTTAATTTCGTTGTATTAAGAATAAAACGTAAATATACGTATATATATGACAATATATATAAATATACTCCCATATACATGTATTGTCAAGCAAAATGGATTTGTGGTCGCAACAGTATTTTTTACAGATGAAAGTAACAGTCGTTGTTGCGTAGGGATATAGACTTAATATGTAGACTTAAAGCAATTTTGAGGTCTAAAGAAAAATGTTGTATGATGCGGAAAGACCATATCTTCTTAGTCGCAAACGTAATATTTTTATTATTGTGTATTTGATTCGTGCAAAAATATGATTAAAAAAATCTTTATAGTATATTAAAGAGATATGTAGGTAATTTTCGAAACTTTTTAAATTGTTCTCGAGCTATTATATATGAAGAGTACAAGGGAAAACCGATCAATGTCCATGTTGGACTCTGATTGTTCTTCCCCACAAG